AACGAATGACTTGTTTTAGAATTCAATGAAAACATTTCTTATACATGGCAGAACTAGAACACATTATCTATTGCTAAATTGTAATTGTGCCCCAATCCCCAATTGTCATATAATACTCATTAGTTGCCTAGTTGTTTATTGTAATCATCGTAAGAAAGTGTAACGAAGTGCTATTCGTACATTTGTCGGGTTTCCACTTTTAAATCCGCCAAAAAATATGTTGTCACATACAGGTCTTGAGAATTTGAAAAATTTCTCAACTATTCAGTGGTTCTCAAGGACATGTGAAACGAGTTATTACAGTCCGCTCACTTTGACCAATATACTTGAAAATTTCAGAAATTTTTCAAAAAACTTGTCATTGGTAATTATGAATGCTCTGGATACTGTCTAAACTTTTTCAAATATTCCTCTTAAGTAGCCCTTTGTATGTCTCACTTGACTAGGTGCTGAATACTAGGAGAAATGCTGTGGTGTGAATAATCATCTTGACGAAATGTGCGAATCTCATGAGAATTAAATTTTGACAACTCTTAAGCAGGTATAAGAGATTTTCAGTGTCAACCGTCATATGTTATAACTGACTGGGGCGGAGTACGAGATTGCCATCTGGCAAAACTTCTCAAAGAAACATTAATGTAGGGTACATTATTCTAGGTTGAGTATTTTCAAAGACCTCTTCGAACAACTAGCTATTGAGTGATAGATGATGCAACAATAAAGAAAGCTAGCCATAACAACAATATATTTCGAAAATAGATGGAATGGGTTTCGCATTCATTATTGTTTTCCAACTGCTATTGTGTCACTTATTTCATCAATTTCTACCAGCTGTCCGGAAAATAATGAAACACCATGCTGTCTTGTGACGATATTCTCCTGAACATCATTCAGATTGTCCATAAATGGCTTACTCTCTGTAATCCAGAGCCTCGCATGAAATATGACGAGCTACCTATGTCTTCTTGCTGTATTGCCAGCAGTCATGTCTAGTTTCAGGCACCTTTTCTTCAAAAAGGTACTTTTGCTTTCCTTTCATAATGTACGAACATTGGTTCTAGGTCAATCACTTGGTTGATTTATTTTACTTTGGGACTTCTGACTAAATCCTGCCTAATTTTGCCAGGTTCCAGAATGGAGATGGTAGGTTATATTCATCAATCAACATTGAGGAATATGCATATTTTATTATAGTGGATATACCAGGTTTTCGAACAATGTAACGTTCCGTTTTTCCATTTGTAATTTCATATTGTTTGTGACACAATCTGAACAAAAAATAAACCTTTTTCTTTTCAATCTCAAATGTGAATTATAACATACCCATTATCTAAATTCTTATTTTCATTTTCACAGATCTGGGATTCTTCTGAGCAGTCTTCGGTAGCGCTACCAAACAAAAATAAATCGAAATATTGACATTATTTGTTTTGATCATTTTATTCCGAGTCACGGTTAGGTATGCAAATACACGTCAGAATAAATCGTCTTCTTCTTTGGTTCAGTTACGGAATCCATTTTCAACGAGAGAGAGAGAGATGTATATTTTTATGTCATTCTTAGAATCGGTGGACTTTGTTTATATGTCCATTTTATTAGGTGAGAGAAGAGTTTGAACTTTGAACTGGTACCGATTCAATGTAGATAGAATGAAATTGTGAAACGGTCTTTCTAAGTGAGAACGTCTAGTGGTGACAACATGATTATAAAATTTTGATAGTCATCCATATAACTGGATTCCAACTATCAAGGTAATTATGGGTTGTAAATTGAATGGGGATGATAGTTATGAAGTTGTGAATTGAAGCTAACCGTAGAATCAATTGAATTTTTTTTTGGCAGTAGTTTTTTTATTCTAGGTCTGCCAAGTTGAATTGAATCGGAAAATTGAATTCAAAAAGTGGAACAGAAACATAAGAAACCGAAGCAGAATCGGTAAAATTTAAATTGAAACTGATACATAAAAAACATTCAGGCAAAAGTGAGGCGTGGTAAATTATAAAAACTATTGAGAAGATCAGACCACAAGTGGTTGAGATAGGAGCACCACTATATGAGAAGTTGGGGGAGTCCGTTAAGGGAGTGTGGAGATTTACCGGAGACTGCCGGAATCCTGGATCACATGGATCAGAGAAGTCGGAGTGGAAAATCGGTTTTGAGTTATACTGATGGTTTCAAAGAATGGGATTTCCATATGATATTGTGAGATTTAATTAATTGAACCCTTTGGTGAGTTCTTGTATTCATTAAGCATTCTGATCGAGGCCATCATTGAACAAAAAACTCCAACAATCTGGTTCATTTATAAATAGTCAATCCTATATATTTTATTTTCATTCAATAAATTTC